GACCCCGGGTGTCCAAGCTCCAGGAAAAGCCTCCGGTGGTCCCAGGAGATGATGCTGCTGGACCCCAGGAGTCGAGGTGCCAGGAAATGCCCCCAGATTGTTCCGATCGCCCCAATTATTCCCATTCTTTGTCCAATCCCCCTTTATTTCCCATCCTTTTCCCCTCTCGCCCTCCCCTCATCACCGCCCCGGCACAGAAAGTCTCTCCCAGCCCCGCAATCAGCATTTCCCTGAACCGGCCACGGCTCCTGGGTGGCAGAAATGATGGAGAAAGGGGAAATTCCCACCCCAAAGCCCCCCCGGATCAGGGACCCGTGGCAGGGGGGTCAGGGGGACAGCGTGAACTGGCAGCCCCTGCCCAGGCAGAGCAGGGGCAGCAGCCGCTCCCCTCCGAAGGACGCGGGAGGGTACGCGAACATCGGCACCTCCCTCTGCGAGTCGAAGAACGCCACTCGCCCGGCCTCGTAGTCCAGGTAGACCCCGACCACCTCGGGGGCTTCGGGCAGGGAGATGGGGACGGCGGGGGACGTGAGAGCCTGGCACTGGCTCCCGCACTGCCCCACGGCCCAGATCCCCACCTCGGGCTTGACGCTGATCCGGCCCTTCCTGGGCACCGACTCCTTGGCCACCCCGACGGCCCAGGCGGCCCCGTGGGCCACCCGCACCTCCCAGAAGTGGCGGCCGGAGCCGAAGCCCTCGCGGCCCAGGACGCAGCGGGAGGAGTCGAAGCGTTTGGGGTGGTCGGGGATGTTCCTGCGGGTGTCCTCCCAGCGGACTCGCTTCCCGTCCTCGGACAGGGCGAGCCGCGGGTGCGCCGTGTCCGGATCCAGCGTCAGGCTCACTGCGGAGGGAGGCGATGGCCACGCCTGGGTGTCGCCCCTCGGGGGTTTCGGGGTTGGGCTCGTCCCGTGTCCCCCCCAGCCTGGGGGGCTCCGGGGCTGGCTCGATGCCCGCGTGAGGGATGGGGAGAGTGGAAAAGCCAACAAAGAGAATTTGGCTTGGAGCAAAATGAGGCTCTGGAGTCTGGGGGTGTCCCATGGCTTTCCTCTCTCGAGTTGCCGTGTGGAAAATTCCGGGATTTTCACCTTCGAGGGGCGATCTCCAAAGGTGACACTGACCCAGCTCTGCCTCCAGCCCTCCCCTGGTCCCTCCATACCTTGGAATTTCTTCAGCATCTCCTTGAGCCTGAAGTTTTTCTGGGGCAGCTCCGTGGGTTCCTCTGCCAGCTCCGGGGGAGTCTCCACCGGCTCCGGGTCATTCTGTTTCTCCAGCCTGAAAAGGAGGAGAAGATTTTCTCCACAGAAATTAGGAATGGTGGGACTGGAGAGGCAGCTGGGAAGACCTGAAAGGTCCCAAACCATCCCGAGTCTCCACGATTTTATAATTCCATTCCTCTTGGGTTTTGGCATCTACGGGAGGTTTTTGGGTTTGGGTTTGGGTTTGGGTTTGGGTTTGGCTCATCAAGGAGCTCCTGGAGAACGTTTGCTGACCCAGCCATGGCTGAGAGTCTCCGAAGATTTTCTGCCAGTGGAAATCAATAATCAATAATCAATAAAAATTACTTTCCCTGTCCACTTTCCTCCTTCCCACCTCCCAGCTGAAGGGGACACAAGCAGCTCTGTTAAAGGGCGGAGGATTCCCTCGGAATTTAACACTTTGAGCTGTTGGTTTTGACAGGCTGAGAAGGAAAAGCTCGTCCCTCCGGGAGCAGGGAGGTTCTCCTGGATCAGAGAGCAGCTGCAGCAGAGCTGGGGGTTCCTGCACCCCCCAGTACCTGACCCTGGCCTCCAAACTGGAGTCGTGTCCCGCACGTCCCTGTCACACAGCTCACGGATTGCTGGGGTTCTGGAGCCCACCAGCCACGGGGACAGAGGACAAGGAGGTGTCAGGAAAGCAGGAGAGGAGCCACAAACCTGCGGAGGATGTCTCTGCTGTCCTGCGGGGCAGAGACAGACACACGGATCAGAGGGACGGCGGGGTCAGAGCCGAGCCAGCCCGGGGTGGGCGCGCAGGGAGGGCTCTGGGGTGACCCCGGGGCGCTGCTGGGCCTGAAGGAGAAATTCTGGCTCTGCGGGATTGAGGTGAGGTCACGGCAGCCTCAGTGAGCACTCGGGTTATCAGCACCATCCCCCCGGCACAGGCGGGCCGGCTGCTAATGAACCCCTCTGCTAATTTGAATCCGTGACTGTTTGAGTGTTTGCGTGTTTGAGTGTTTGCGTGTTTGAATTTCCAGACATTTGAATGTTTGGATTTCCTGATATTTGATTATTTAATTACCTAACCAGGGGCCAAGCCAAGTCTGGACGTGGGCTCAGACGGGGACTTTGGTGGCAACCTTGAGGCCGGGGGAGCCCTGGTGGTTTCCTGCTGTGGACAAGGGATCCAGACCATTGCCTGGGGGCGTTCACCTGGACAGGTGAACCCCAGTGCCCAATCGGGATGACTTTGTGGGCGTTGAAGGGAATAATTTAGGGCCGAAAAAAAATGTCTTTTAAAGGGAGTTTTTACATCTCCAGGTCGGACGGGGATTGGAGGAGTGTGGCCCCGTGGAAGGTGCCCTTGTTGTGGTCTAGGTGAGCTCCTCCCTGCCCAAGCCACGGTCCTGGGACTCTGTTTAGGGTTGGTTTGGCTAGTGGCCTCGTGGCCTGGTGGCCCGGGGCTTTCCGAGCTCTCACCTGCAGGAGCTCCCAGGGCGGCTGCTGGCACTTGTCCTCCAGCTCCTGGACCTGCTGGCCCAGGGAGGAGATCTGCTCCGAGAGGCTGCTGATGTTCTCCTCCTGCCTCCGCACGATGTCCCGCTCCAGCTCGGCCAGCCGGCCCAGCAGGAGCCGCTCCTGCTCCTCCAGGAGCTGGTGCAGCTCCCGCACCCGGCAGCGGAGCCGCTGCCGCTCCGCGTCCACCCGCTCCTGCAACGGCCACGGGCCGGGGTGAGGGGCCGGGAAATGCCCCCAGAGGGGGCTGGAGGGGGATTCGTCACCGCCAGAAATTCCGGGGTTCTGGCAAAGCTTGGGAAAAATCAAGCCCTTTTTTTTTTTCCTCTTTTTTTTTTTTTTTTTTTCTTTTTTTTCTTTTTTTTTCTCTTTTTTTTTCTTTTTTTTCCCCCCTCTCTCTAATTCTATGCGAGGATTGCTGGCAAAGCATTTTCCCATGGTCTGTAAACTTTGCCCCCAAAAGGCTCCAGACCTTTGGACAAGGGAAGATGCAAAATAAACCCGTAAACGGATTAGTCAGACATCAGGGAAAGGGAAAACAAAGCAAAAAGGGTCGGGTGATTCCCATTTTCTGTCTGTTAATGGGGAGAATCTGGGAATGCGCCAGAGCACCCGGAGGGAGACAAAGATCCGCAATAACCTGGAAAAATCCAGGTTTCGGTTGGATACCGGGGAGAAATTGTTCCCGGTGGGGGCGGTGGCAGGCCCAGGTAGCCCAGGTGCGCCTCCACCTCCATCCCCGCGGCCGCAGGGTCACTCACCAGCAAGTCCAAGCTTTTTCCTTCCTCCGCCGCCTTCAGCCCCAGCATCTTCTCCCTCCTGTCCCTGAGGATCTGCGCGTGAGCCTGGAGCTTCTCCTGGGCGGGGAGGAAGCCCCGGGTGGGCTCCTGTGCCTCCATCCCGCCCTGCGGGGAGCGACCCGGGGGCGGCCGCCACCGACGGCACCGGAGAACGAGCGGGGAAGGTGCGGAAACCCAGAGCTGGGCAAGGAAAACGCCGCTCACCTGGCCTCCCCTTCCTCCTCCTCCTCCTCCTCACCCTCCTCCTCACCCTCAGGGACACCCGCACCCCTCCCAGCCGGCCCCACCCGCACCTGGTGCTCCTGCGCCGCTTCCTCGATGGGCACGGCGGCGTGCAGCCGGTGCTCGGGGCCCTGGCGGCACACGCGGCACACGGGGCTCTGCTCCTCCTCGCAGAACAACTTCAGAGCCTCTCCGTGCGCCGGGCACAGCCGCCCCCCGGCCGCCCCCCTGAGGCTGAGGCGCTGCGCGATGCGGATGATCGCCGCCAGCTCCCGGTTGGGCCTCAGGCTGCGCTCCGGGGCCGTCTCCCGGCACCGCGGGCACGGGAAGCTCTCCCGGGAGCTCGCCCAGCAGCGCTCGATGCAGCCCCGGCAGAAGTTGTGGCCGCAGTGGATGGACACGGGGTCCTGGAAGAGGCCGAGGCACAGCGAGCAGGAGGCTTCGGTGCGGAGAGACCCGGGCTGGGCCATGGCCGGGGCACGAACCGGCACCGGAGCCGGAACCGGGGCGGTTTCGCTTCCCCCCCCGCGGCCGGGCTGGCCCCGCGGCTGCTCCGCTTCCTGCAGGTGCCTGCGGGGCCCGGGGACCGAGAGCGACAGCGGAGCAGATTGGCTGTGACACGAGCCGGGCTTGGCGCCGCGAGTGGCACCGGCTCCTTCAGCACCGGCTCTAATCCCGGGCTTGGTACCGGGTTTGGTACCGGCTCTAATCCCGGGCTTGGTACCGGGGTTGTTTGGTACCGGCTCTAATCCCGGGTTTGGTACTGGGATTGTTTGGTACCGGCTCTAATCCCGGGTCTGGTAGCGGGATTGTTTGGTACCGGGATTGTTTGGTACCGGGATTGTTTGGTACCGGCTCTAATACCGGGCTTGGTGCCGGTTCTAATCCCGGGTTTGGTACCGGGATTGTTTGGCACCGGTTCTAATCCCGGGTTTGGTACCGGGGTTGTTTGGTACCGGCTCTAATCCCGGGTTTGGTACCGGGTTTAATACCGGGTTTAACACGGGACTGCAGCCTCAGCCGAGCCGGAGAGGCGCCGAGAATTCCCCCTCCCACCAGGCTGGCAGCGGATTGGAAGGAGGTGGAATGGAAATTAAACTTCATCACGTTCCGCCTTGGTTGGAATCCACCGCTCCTCTTTCACTCCCTGCTCCCCCAAAAATCACCCCGGGAAAGCGAGAGGCGGCCCCGAGGCGGCCCTGGGGGTTTGGAGCCCTGGTTTCCCGGCTTTCACTGCATTCCTTTTACATGTTTTAATTGATACATTGAATTTCCATGCGAATTTAATTCACTGATTCACTCCTGGCTCTGTAATCGAAGGGCACCGCCACGGGGTGGGAGCTCGCCGCCATCCCTGGCCCATCCTTTGCTGCTCATTGCTCCTCCCGACAATTCAGCATCCCTGAATTCCAGCATCCCTGAATTCCAGCATCCCTGAATTCCCGGCTCCAGCACCGCCCCCAGCACCTCCATTCAAAAACACTTTTATTCTTCTTCTCACTTCTCCTTTTACACAGGAAATCGTTTCTCTCACGGGCCGGGGCTGAGCCGCTGACCACAGACTTTCCTATTTTTAACTTTCCTTTTCTTCCAAGAGCCCCCTGGACCGCTCGGAGCCCTTCGCGTGCAGAAGCCACCGGAACTCGGAACTCGCTGATGCCCTTTTATTTTTCTTTTCTATTTTTTTTTCTTTTTTTTTTTTTTGAGGTTATCCGCCCAAAACTCACCCGCCGTTAATTCTGTGCGGGAGTTTTTTGGGGTTCCGGGTTTTCCGGTGCTCGGAACACTCAGATTGAAACCTGGGGGGGCGGCTTCGTGCTCAAAACACCTTTTTTTTTTTTTTTTTTTTTTTTTTTTTTTTTTTTTTTTTTTTTTTTTTATCTGGGGCTAAGGTTGATTTATCGGGGGCTGAGACGTGCGGGGAGCTGGGACGGATCAAGGCTCCCCTTCCCAAGGGATTTCGGTGCTCGATTAGCCGGGTGTAATCACCGTGAATTCTCCAGAGGAAGCTGGAGGCTCGGGCTGAACAGGGGAAAAGGAAATCAGCAATCCAAGGTTTTTCTGCCGGATTTTGCTCAGGTGCTGCAGGGTGCAGGTAGATCCAGGGCTGGGAGCAACCTGCCTCCTTTTCTCACCGTTCCAGGGAAAAAAAACCCACCTCAATAAAATCATCTTGAAATCTAAATTTGAATTTTAAAAAGATCAAAATTTTAAAACCCGAATTTAAAAAAAAATAGGAAATCCATTTTTCAAAAAATCCATATTTTTAGAAATCTAAATTAATACAAAAATCTGCATTAAGATAATCTGAATAAGTGACATTTAGACATCTGAACGTAGGCCAGGAGAAGGGCTGGGTTTTCCGCCGCTCTTGCTTTCAAGGCATCAGCCAGACACAGAAATTTTTTGGGGCAGGAAAAGAGGCCCCGATTTGCCCCGCGGGAGGAGGGAGGGGGCTCCCATTCCCACCCCCCCTTTCCACGGGGTCTCACCCTCGGGGCTTCCCTTCCCAATCCTCGCTCCTCACCGCGCCGGGGATCCCAAAAATTCCCCCGGGACCCCCGGGGGGGCACAGCCGGGAGGATTTTGACCCCCGCCCGTCCCCGCCCGGCTCCGCCTTCCCCGGCGCGGGGAGGGGAAGGAAAGCGGCGGCTCCGCAGCCCCCGGGGCTCCATGGCCGCGCTCCCGGGCGAGGCCTCCTGCCCCGTCTGCCGGGAATATTTCCGGGACCCCGTGTCCATCCACTGCGGCCACCACTTCTGCCGCTCGTGCATCGAGCGCTGCTGGGAGTGGCCCACGGGCGGCTTCGCTTGCCCGCGGTGCCGGGACACGGCCCCGGAGCGGAGCCTCCGCCCCAGCCGGGAGCTGGCGCGGGTGCTGGAGATCGCCCGGCGGCTCAGCCGGGGGGAAGCCCTGGGGGTCGGGGGCGAGGAGGAGGAGGAGGAGGAGGAGGACGGGGAGGAAGGATGCCGGCGGCACCGGGAGCCCCTGGAGGTTTTCTGCAAGGAGGACGGAGCGCTGCTGTGCGCGATCTGCCGCGAGTCCCGCGCGCACCGCGCACACACCGTGCTCCCGGTGCCGGAGGCCGCCCGGGAATTCAAGGTACAGCCCGGGATCTCCACCGGGAGCGGGGCCGGCTCGGATTTGCCCCACATTTGCCCCCCGGCCCGTCCCAGGGGCACAGGACGCGCTCCGGTGCTTCTGCTCTCTCTGTTCTTCCTCGAGCCTGGAGGGATCCTTCATCCTCCTCCTCCTCCTCCTCCTCCTCCTCCTCCCTGCCCAGCTCCAGCCGGTCCCCGAATCAGCAGGAACGCGGACAATAACAGCAGGAATGCTTTCCTGGAGCGGCAGGAGAAGCGGAGCTGCTCGCCCTCCAGCCCCTGCCCAGAGCGTGGGTTTGAAGCCGCCCCAATCTCCAGAGAAACGGGGGGTTTATTTATTTATTTATTTTTCACCCCCTCAGGAACAAATCCAGGCTCGGCTGCAAACCCTGAAGGACGGCAGGGACAAACTCCTCGCGCTCCGGGAGGCTGAAATGAGGAGAAACTGGGAGTATTTGGTAAATGCTGCGGAGCGGAGGGGGGAGTGGGCGACCCCCGATGGGTTTCCAGGGGGGAGTGGGGGGGGTCCCTGGGGCCGGGGTCGCTCTCCAGGGAGCGGCTTTGACTCGCCCTTCCCACCCAGCCGCGCTCCCCGTCCCGCAGGAAAACACCGAAGCCGAGCGGCAGAGAATCCTCGCTCACTTCCAGGGGCTGCGCCTCTCCCTGGAGGAGCTTTCCCGGCACCTGCTGGCCCGGCTGGGGCACCTGCAGGGCCACATCGGGAGGGTGCAGGAGGAAAGGGTGACGAGCCTGACCCAGGAGATCTCCCGCCTGGACGCCCGAGTCCAGGAGCTGGAGGAGAAGTGCGAGCAACCCGCCAGGACCTTCCTGCAGGTGACGGGGACAGCGAGGGGCGGCCTCGGATCACGGCAGGGGGTGGAACTGGGGGGGTCTCCGGGGGTCCCTTCGACCCCAGCCCGGTGTCTCAGCGGTTTTCCCGCTGGTTGGACTCGACGGGCCTGGAAAATCCCCCCGAGTGTCGGTGTTCCCGCGGCCCGGAGCCATTCACGGAGCCCCCGTGTCCCTTCTCTCCCTTCCAGGACATCAGCGGCACCTTGAGCAGGTACGGACGGGATTTCCTGAGCTCCGCCTCCCGCCCCGGGCTGCCATCGAGGGCTGGATCCTTGCTTGGCCTCATTTCGAGACCGAATATTTGGTTTTGTGGCCGAACCCCTGGCCAAGGGGCCTGACCCCATCCCCAAGGCTCCTCCGTGCGTGCGCGCTCAGAATTCCCGGGGGGGATCCTCAACCTCTTCCTGCCGTCCTTCTGCAGCCTCGGAAAGGAAATCCTCCAGCTGCCCCCGTCGCCTCTTCTGGAGCTGGAGAAGAGAATTCATCGCTTCAGGGAGGAAAATATTCTCCTGGAGGAGACACTGAGGAGCTTCCAAGGTATTGGGAGCAGGCTGGGGGGTGAAGAGATGAATTTCATTGCTTTTATTATATATATAAATTTATTTATGTTTATTACATCATAATGCGTATGCGCAATCATTAATTATATCTGTTTTCTTAGAGCATATGCTGCATTTTATTGCAATTTATTTCAGTTTTATTTTATTTTATTGCAATTAATTTTTTTGATTGCCATCCCGCTTTATCACGACTCTCAGCCTCCCCACATTCCCCTTCCCACTGATCCCCGAATTTTACGGCAGCCCACGCCTCCCTTCTCCCCTTTTTTCAGACGTCCTGGTGTTCGAGCTGCCGGAGAAAAGTGAGTCTGGCACGGGGGGTGAGGGTGGGAGGCGCCGAACGAACGACGGGGACTGAGGGGAAACCCCGCGGGGAGCCGGGGACGCTCAGGGC